TGGATGTTGCAGACGGCAGACTGGAGCTAGTACGGATTAGTTGGAGTAATCAGCCAAACAGGAGCCGGCAAAATGGTGTCATCGGTCTCAACTTAGACGACATTGACAAATGATAGGCTGAGGGCCGTTTCAAAACGCCAAGCCCCTCCACAGCCCCTGTCCGTATATACATCCAGCGATATCGAGGTAAGACGGCCTCCAACTCTTGGCCAAAAGCACCCACTCACTCTCCCAGCTTCGTTCAGAAACGATTTCAGCTGGCAAGCCCCCTTCTGTGGCTTCATGCGTGATCCAAGTCTTGGTCTGGTCATCTCCAGATCGTCCCAGACCCAAACTCGCATGGCTTGTACAACCCATCATGTTCAGAAGACTATCGAAAGAGAGGGCATGGGTGTCTCAGCCCAGTCCCTCTCCGCAAAAAAAGAAAAGAACAATCGGGTCTCGCCGCCCAATCCTTGATTGCTGACCAAAGGAGGGTGTGGGAAGCGAATTTGAAGGCTGAAATTGCGGCATCCCAAGAGCTGATGACTATGATGAAGATCACAATGCCAGCATTCAGTGTCCAGGCAAGTCCAGGTAAGAAGGCGTGATTAAGGGATGATGGCATAAAACTTTATTCCTTCCTAGTCCTCTCTGATGAAAATAACGTAATAACCTTATATTTAAGGTAAATATTTAGCCAGAGTAATGGGGAGAAGATGCGTTTTCCTCCAGACGGACTAAGCTTGAGCTCTCTTTCGGGCACACTTACTTGATAGGGCCGCCACCGTCAGCGTTACTCCACCACCACCTTACACCCCGTCAAGGATGCTGGAGGTGTGTTTTTGTTTCTCTTTCAGAGGCAATCTGAATACAAAGATCAGACGAGCGGCTGATCAGCCTTGGCTGGACCCATGACTATGAAAGATCTGTTCCAAGCATGCCGAGAATAGCTTACATAGCAGATGGATTCCTGCAGCTCCCACTTCCCGCCACCATCTTAGATCGGAGGGACCGATCTCTGAGATCGTGCCCCATTATTGATTTTGGGACGGAATGGCGACATAGTCGTGAGAGTGAGACAATACAGCAACGCTGCCAAGGGGGTGTGCCCTTTCCCCCTTGGGGACTCATGACCCAGCCAAAACATCCATGGGGCTAGATTCCCGTAGGCCTATCTTTTTGTTATGAATCTAGGTGAATCCCGCCTTGGCTATCGGGCTGGTGGCTGAATATTACCCACCAACAACAATGCTCGCCCTCTAGTCTCCATCCTCGACATCACATCTCAGTTAGTGTTGACAAATTTCTAGCCATTATTTCACTATTGAAGGATCTTCACGAGATCTTCGAGCTATTAGCCAACGAGCATAGCGGGAGTAAGCCACATCACACTTCATGACCATCCTTGGACTGGTCTAGATGTAACTATTCGAGCTAGTGAAGAGAGGGAGTCATATCAGAGAGTACCTATCGAGATTTGCTTTTTTTCAGCTCGATGTTCCAGGCTACCTTGGGACTCGCTGGCAGCCTTGATCAGCTCAGAAGGGAAGAGTGGGTACGTGAGATATCAGAGTCATCACATTCTAGGCTCTCCCCAGGATTGGGCCGCAAAGAGTCTCCGGAAATTGAATTGCAATCACGGCTAAGCCTAGCAGTCCATAATCACGCGATCGACTTAATCGAGCCGTCAACCGCTTGGGCTTCTGAGTCCAAGGCTCTCTCTCTTTCAATGTGGCTTAGTCAATCCTCAGCCTCCACCGACTGCAGTGTCTCACACATTTTTTTCCGAAGACAAACCTGAGTTCACATCTGTCAAGGCTTCTAGCATTTGCCAGTGTAAAACTTTTCCGAGAACGAGCATACTGGTGCAACACACGCCATGTTTGAAGCTTTGTTGGTGATTTCGCCTGACCACTCGAAATGCATCAACATTGCTGGTATGTCACGAGACAAAACTGCACAATAACACATTCCAATATGAACTGAATACTAAATGCATAAGTTAGCTAATACCTCCCAGAAGTATTACCGGAAACAAACATGTACGCAGACCGACACGCTCTTACGAAAATCCCCCAAGCCAGAATGTCCACCATGTTTGTTCCATAGATGCTACATACAAATTTCTGAAAGCATGACTTAGCCCTACCATTCAATACAAAGAACGAGCACAGGTTATCGGACAACTATGCCCACGGACGACGAATATATGCCACTACCTATGGACTATTATGCACTATGCATCACGGCAATATCTGGTATCTTCCAATTGTTCTTTTGTTCTACTCACGGTCAAGCGATGGCAACTATCATATATATCACACATAACATTAATACACCAGCATGCATCGATCCCTTTCAGTCAAGGTAAATTGGATGTTCTACCGCGTTGGCCAGCACGCCGTCTACCAATCCCACACCGACTGCGGTGGAAGCTAAAGGAACAAGATGTAAAGCAGTAGATTGATACACACAAGTCTAGCAGATACTTTGCTTCGCATCACCAGTGATTGACCACTTCATGTTGTCGGCGCAAGGCGACTCGCGAACGGTAGTGCCGCTAATTTTGGCAGTGATGGAGATGTCGCTCGTGTTGGGGAACTCATCGCGAGCAGAGATGCGCACCTCACCGCCGCCATCGACAGTGCCACCCTTGATGTTGAGGTTGTAGCAGTTCTCGATCAGAATCGCATTGTTCCCGTTGTCGGCAAGATCAATGCTGCCAATCTCGGCTGCGCCAGACTGGGACACGCAGAAGATGCCACGGCCGCCACCTCGGGAGATGACCTTGTCGATGAACACGTTGGTCTTGTCGTGGGAGCCGTTCAGCTCACCGTTGTTGTTGGCGAATCGCAGCGTCGCGTATCCAGTGCCCGAGCCGGCATTGTCACCTTGGACGGTGCCAACCTTGGCGTTGGTAGTCTTCTGCAGAAGCAGACCACACTCGCCGACATTCTTGGCAACGACTGAATCAATGGTCAGGCCGTCAATGTTCCAGGTCTCGACGGCGTGGCTGCTGGCGCCGGTGACAGTGACCGAGCCTATAACCACGTTTGAGTTGGCGGCCTTGTCGCGGTCAAAGCGGATGCCAATCCCGGCAGTCAGGTCCATGACGATCGTGCCGAGGTTCAGGTTCTTGGTGCCGGAGAATCGGAGGCCAAAGTAGGGGCTGCCGGTCATGGTAAGGTATGGGATCGAGACGTCGGACGCGTCAGTGACTTCGATCGCGCCACGGCCAGCCTTGTTAGTGGCAGCGATGGTGCCGCAGCCGTAGAAGGTCTTGCCACTGGTGATGGTGATGGTGCTGGCGCCGATGGAGCCCGAGGCAATGACGCCGAGCTTCTGACCCGATGACATGGAGTCCAGGGCCGTCTGGATAGCAGTGAGGTAGTTGGAGCCGGAGTAGACGGACTTGGAGCCGACTGTGGCAGTGTAAGTGCCTGACCCTTCAACCTTGGCGTCAAAGCTACCAGAACTGCACTGCGCATTGACGACCGAGGTCAGGGCAAGTGCCGTAGAGAGAATAGAGATGAGGGGAAACATGACTGCGTTGTCTCAGCGCCTGCGCTGTTGGGAACTGTAGATATGGAGGTAACGTAGAGTGACGAATGCACCGCACCCGCCCTTGCTGAGTTGAAGAGATGAATTAAAAGCTTGGTCAGTTACCATGGTCAAGAGCCGGACGATATCATGTTTATAGCATTCACAGCGGTACAGTGGGGGTGGGACTGGTTCCGTGAAAGGCATGGCATGTCCGTTTGGGCATTCTGAAACTTGTCTGTTGCAGGAATCGATCGACGTTTGCGGAGGGAGAGCTTCCGCGAAACACTACGAGTCTCGACAGCACCCTTAAAATTAACCTTAGTGGCCCGCATCCCGATACGAGATGTCATATCCCGCCAAGGGGTAACAACCTTATTTCCGGGAGAGTTTCCCTGTTCCATGATTGCTGCTCTTGAACAGCCAGAGTGATTTCAAAGAGAGTTGCCAAGCTGGCAGGGGACATGTGCGGGTCATCCAGCTAATTTTTCCACAGCCTCAGGGGCTCGGGGCCATCACTCCGCCTGAGAAACATCAAGCGCCATCCCCAGACCCCTGGATAGCGTTGCAATCCCGGGGGCTGTATAAGAATGCGGTGACAGATGTCATGTAGGCAACCGGCAGGGCGGCCCAAGTGATCCTGGCCTGCTGGCTTGTGAGTCTTGTAGTTTTCGTGACTGTCAATCGAAAAACTAGTCAATTCTTATCTGCTGATATGGGTGGACACCGGCTTGTCAGACTTGGTAAAGTTCCGGTTGGGTGTTCCTGAACAACTTTATTTACCTACAGTCAGTTCATATCTCCAACTTCTATCAAGGATGGGAGCATCTTCAACTAAATATCATCATACTTTTCGAATTTGTACAGATAAGAGAAAAAAAATAAAAAATTAAATATTATAAAAAAGCAAAGGATTTACTATCTTCGACGGCAATAAAAGAGAAAACTGTAGTGTTTCAGTGTTTAGAGAAGACATGTAGGGTAGGTGGATGGGTGTGGTGGAGGCAAAAAGCAAAAGGGATGGTCACTACCAGGATCGAACTGGCGACGTCCGCATTACTAGGATATCGGGTAGATATATTAGTACGGCACTCTAACCAACTGAGTTAAGCGACCATGCCTACCCTGCAGCAAATTACGCTTTATATCCTCCTGCAACCAACGCGACGCGATTCTGGCTGAACGCCTAACGTGGGCCTCGACCTGGCAATCAGACAAATCAGATCTTGGCTCTGGCACAACATCCCGGCGCTATTGATCTGCCTGCTTCAGCTCGTGCGGCTGGCAGAAGCAAAGAGGATGGGCGGGAGTCTAGAACAGACCCGCCGCCACCCCTCTCAGGTCCAGCCGCACCAGGCAGACTCGCGCAGTCGATTTAGCTGCAGCCCGCGATCAGCTGCGACGATGGACGCTTCCTTTGCCCTGGATTGAGATTCTGAGAGACTGAAGCACCGCCGGGTGCTGTCTACGCCGTCAAGATGAGGAAGTTCGCCTCCAGCATGGTTGGTCTCGTCACCGAGAGCCTCAAGGACGATGCCATGCAGATTCACACTACGGCCAATTCCTCACTGCCTGGGAACCCGAACAACCCCTACGCCCAGCAGAACTACAATCAGGGCGGCTGGTCTCAACAGCCTCAACAGCCTCATCAACCTCATCAGCAGCCTTACCAGCAGCAGCCCTACCAGCAAGCTCCATTGCCTCCTCCCGGCATCACCCCTTCACCCTCGTCCTTCTCTCCAACGACGTACCCTGCCTCAGCATCCCCATACGCAAATACGCCTCAGTACTATGCCCCTCAATTGAACTCTGGCGTGAGCAGTAATGATGCTTTCCTGCCGCCTCCTCTCCCGCCTCCTGTGCCGGCCACCAACGCGACTGCACAGCGCCAAGCTCCTGGGCCGACCTACTACTCGCCGCCGGTCCACGTGAACCAGCAGCCTCTGCCTTCATCATTTCCGGTGCAGACACAGCCAGAAGAGGTTTACTTGCCTCCTCCAACGGCTCCTCCGCCACATTTGATTGCTGAGCTCCCGGGTGATAGCGCACCATCCGCCAGCCGAGCCTTTCCCCAGCAGCAGCAGCAGCAGCAGTATTCTCACCCTCAGTATGGCTCGTACGCACCCGTGTCGTCGCCTCCAAACGTGGCAGAGCTCTGTTCACAGATGGGCAACCTGGGGGTTCAAACTCCAGTATCCCAGCCCGAGCCTCCCTCATCAGCCTCTCCGCCCGGTCCCCCTCCACCCATCCAAGAGCTCCCGGCACCCATTGCGCCGCCATCGGCACATGCCCCGTCCCCAGCTACGGCTTCTGAGGATCGCCTCCTGCTTCCTCCCCGAGGACCGCCTACCATCGCTCTATCAGGTGAACCAAATGAGGTCATCCCTGACTGCACAGAGGGCAGGGAAGTAAGCTACGCGATGGACTGGTACCGTCTCCCCGAGGCGCCCAGCCACCTCATCTGCACGCGTTGCTATGCAGACCACATCCAGAGTACTGCCCTGGCCGGCGCTTTCGAGAAAGTCAACCAGGCTGGCGGCACTTGCTGCTTCTGGCTGCCTCGCATCAAAGACCAGCTGTGGGAGCAGGCCTTGCAAAGCGGCGACACGCAGGCACTGGTAGCTTTCTTCTCCGAGACCAAGGATCTTCAGCCGTGTAGCGGGAGAGTGTACAACGGACCCGAGGAGAGTGCTGCCATGAAGTGGTACGTCGTCACGGAGGCGGGCGTGCTCGATGGCTTCCTTGCGTGCCAGGCCTGCTACGTGTATCGCATATCAGGCACGTCTTTCGAGTCCAGGTTCTCACCTTACGACCAGTCCAAGCTCAAGGATACGCAAGGCATCATGTGCGACGCTTGTGCGCCCTCTGTGGCGGCGAACCTCCGGAGCTTGAGTGTAAATGGGGACTGGCACACATTCGTTGCAGCGACCGCCCACCGCCTCGGGCTACCAGAGTGCACCCTGGCCGAGCCGCGGACGTTTGGCAGTGATGCAGTGTCGTACGTTCTACGGCAGGGCGGTGGTGGTCTGAGGGTCTGCGAGACCTGCTACGTGGACAAACTGATGGTGAAGGGCTTTGCAGGTCATTTCGAGCGCTACCAGAAACCGAAGCCTGGTCTACGTTCCTTTCTCAACGAATGCATCCAGGACACAGAGGAGGGCTTCTGCAGCCTGGCGCGAATGTCGCTCAACGTCGCCCTCGACGCGGCACATTACCAGCGGGATTTCAGTGTCTACAAGACTGCCGCCGAGGCCACCTCTCGCCTGCCGAGCTGCACGGCGAACGGCATCCAGAGCAGCACTTGGTGGACTCTACAGGGTGGGTGTGACGGACTGAGCATCTGCGAGGCGTGTCACGCGGGCTTCTTGGTCCCGACTGGTGTCGCACAGTACTTTGAGCGGACGCGTCGCAGCTCCAGCTCGCCCATCCTGTGCAGCCTCCACATCACTGCCCCGCGTGCCCTTGACCTGCTGAGCCACTTCGGCCAGATGATCGAGAAGGGCCTCTTCAGCCATTTCGCAGACTACGCGAGACTATGGTCCGGCGTGCGGCCGTGCCCAGGCCTGAAGGCCCAAGGCGGCGGCACCTGGTTCGGCTACCACGAGCTGTACATGTGCAAGGAGTGCTATCTCGAGTGTGCCGCCTCCCAGCCCCTCGCGGACACACTGCCCGTCCGGGATCTATACGAGGAGGATCTGCGCATCTGCCAAATGTGGTCGCCTCGGATGCGTAGGCTCTGGCTGGAGACTAACGCCGCGGGCGCTGTGGGATCGCCAGAGTCCAAGGCGGCCGAGGACAGGCTCCGCGAGCTTGGCACGCAGCGGTTCCAGGTGTACAACGCGACGGTGCTGCAGATTGAGGTCATGCAGCAGATGCAGGCGATGAGGAGGCGGGCGGCGCTGCACAAGGGCGTGCAGAGCACCGTCTACGCCGGGGCCAACAGCTTCGCCATGGCGGCGGGCGCGACGGACGGCTACATGTACGGGAACAGCTCGCTGGGCTGGCACGGCACCAGGAACGGCCTGGTTGGCGCGCAGCTGGGGATGGAGTCCCGCGCAGAGCTGGCCCAGCTGTCTGGCGGCGATGAGACGGCCGAGATCTCGAGGCTTCAGGCCATTTGGAGCCAGGTGGAGTGAGCGAGCGAGAAAAGACGCTCATCACCTAGTCTGATACGAGTAATGATATACGTGTGCCTGACTCATTCATGCATGTGGCTCGAATGAAGAGGGAGAATCTGCACCATAAGTGCAGTGTTTAGAGTTCCACCGTCTGCATGTGTAATATGAATGCGCCGGCTCTCCTGCATTAGCTGAGGATGATCTTCTGATAGTTATATGAAGCAGTGTCGTGTCGATGCAGTGCATCCGGGCAAGGAGATTGCGTCCCATCGGGTCCTTCTCGTGCCACGATAATCCTCCCGGCCTGGTACTCAGATCTCTTATTGAATCAATGTTATTTCTCCCCGCGAATCGACTTTAGAGTGAGGTACAGGGGCTAATTAACCTCACGATGGACGCCACGAGAATCGGGAATCAGATCGAATCCCCCTGCCCCCTGACGTTCCGAGACATTAGGCGTTTCAAAGAAGCTCCCTAGCCGCAGGTCAACACGAGCCTAACCTGACAATCATGTCGGCCTCTTTGTAGGTTCGATTCACTTGCCGTGATCTATTGGCTGGCTCTCTCCACTCTGCCGAGAAAATCTCATTTCCGGATCTGCAATTGGAGGCTCATGCGCAGGTCCCGAGCCGATTGAGGCGCCCTGAGCGGTCTCATCAAGCCACAGAGGGCCCAATCATTCCGTCGACTGTCTGCTGTTAGCCGCCTGATCGTGGACTCGAATGATGGGGACTGGGCAGGGCTTTGCTTCCATCTGCGTGGCGGCCCTTTTGTCGTGGCCATCCGGGACCATTGGCTAGATACCGACATTCTTTCTCGCGATCTTTCTTCTTCTTCTTCCTTGTTCACTACGCGTGCATTCCTTTCTTCTTGATGGGTTGTCTGGCTCGCCCTTGAGTTTTGTAACATAATTTACTGCTTCATTCACCTTCGTTTATATGATGCAGTAGGAATCTCTCGCTAACCAACATTCATTCATTCGTTCGCCCGTCCAGTCATTCTTTTGATCAATTTTCACGGCCTTTTGAAGGCAGTTGCTTTCTTTCTACGGAATCCATTCGTTCTCTGCCCAGCACGGCAATACTGATTTACTTACTGGACGTACACTCATTACTTCGTTCGACAATTTCTTCAAAATGGGCTTCCTGGCTGGCGCCCTTACTGGCCTTTTGTACCTCGCACCCCTCGTGGCTGGTGCGATTATCCCCCCCGATGCCATCGATTCTCTTCACTCATCCTACGACTACGTGATCGTTGGAGGCGGAATCTCTGGCCTGGTTCTTGCCAACCGCCTCACGGAACAGAAGTGTTGCCGGGTCCTTGTCCTCGAAGCTGGTGGCCTGGACGATGGGCGATGGCAAGTGCAGGCTCCTGGCAGCATCGGTCTCGAGGATGTCTCCATGTACGACTGGAATTGGAGGACCGTTCCCCAGAACTTCCTTGACAACGCCGATCGTTCTTTTCCCCTCGGCAAGGCTGTCGGTGGTGGGAGTGTCGTCAACGGCATGGTCTGGACCCGTGCCTCTGCCTCCGACTACGACTCTTGGGTTGATCTCGGCAACGACGGCTGGGGCTGGGATGACCTGCTCCCTTACTTCAAGAAGTCGGAGACTTTCAGTCCTGATGTAAATGATTACGGGCGCGACAACCTCCAGATCGACCCCGACTCTGAAATCCACGGCCGCAATGGACCGATCCAAGTCGGCTATCCCAGGCACTTTTACCACCCCCAAACGCAGAACTTCCTCGACGGCGTCGAGGAGCTTGGCATCACCATCGTCGGCGAGCCTAATGAAGGCAACATGACTGGTGCCTCTGTTGTCCCCTCCAGCCTGACCCACGACACAAATGCCCGATGCAGTGCCCGAGATGGCTACCTGACCCCCATCGTTGATCGCCCCAACCTCCACGTCGCCACCGGTCAGCGAGTCACCCGTGTTCTGTTTGACAATTCCAACGGTGACCCCAAGGCCGTCGGTGTTGAGTTTGCCACGGACTCTGGAGCTGCCGTCCGCAATATCACTGCCAAGCGAGAGGTAATTCTCTCCGCCGGAGCCGTGCACACGCCCACCCTCCTTCAGATTTCCGGAATTGGTCCCCGAAGACATCTCGAGTCGCTCGGTGTTGATGTGCTCGTCGACCTTCCCGGAGTTGGAAACAACTTTCAAGATCATCCTATGATCTCTCCTGGTGAGTTCCATGATAATATTGAAATGAAACCATACTAATACGCATTTCTAGAGTACCAATGTTAGTTCGACATCGTTGGAGCTCTCTGGGTGATGGCAACACTGACCGATGTGTAGATACCGTCCCGGGACTTTACACCTCACGTAATCTCACTGGAGCCGAAGGAGCAGCTCGTCTCAAGGAGTGGCAGGAGGAGCATACTGGTTAGTTTTGATGGGAACTGCTGGCGTATCACGATGCTTCTTTCTCATACTGACACTGGGGTTCTTCCTAGGTCCTTACACTACGCCCCTGATTCATGCGGTGGCCTTCCCTGGCTTCCCCTCTGTTGCGCCAGACTACGCCGACCGGCTCAACGCCATCCGAAATGGCTCCATCGCCAACAGCCTCCCCGACTCCTACGACGAGACGCTGCGCGCCGGGTACGAGGCCCAGCTCACCAGCATCATCGGCCTCCTCGAGAAGGACGACGTCTCCGCCTACGAGCTCATGTCCAACTCCTTCGGCGGCCTCACCGTCTCCGTCATGCAGCCGCTCAGCCGGGGTAACGTCTCCGCCACCTCCAGGTCCATCTGGGACGCCCCCAGGATCGACCCCCGCTACTGCTCCCACGCCTTCGACTGCGACATGGTGGAAATTGGCCTGCGCTTCAACGACCGGCTCATCACCACCAAGGCCATGGCCGAGCTGCAGCCCGTGGCCCAGGCCGGGTTCGGGCCTGATGTCACCCACGAGGAGCTGCAGAGGTCCCTCCGGGCCAGCCTCCACTCCGACTACCACCCGAGCTGCACCGCGTCCATGCTGTCCCGCGACCTCGGCGGCGCCGTCGACACCTCGCTGCGGGTGTACGGGACGAGGGGTCTGAGGATTGTTGACGCCAGTGTTTTCCCTACTATTCCTGGTGCGCACTTGCAGGCAGCTGTTTATGCCGTTGCTGAGAAGGTAAGACCTGTCACATGTGATGTGTTATCATTGAGACACTATGCTGACGAGATGATAGGCTGCAGATATCATCAAGGGTGACGGCCTGCACCTCCACGTAGGGCGCTCCCTCTGAATGTTACCGACATTATTTAGAGCTCATCTTCCGCCAGATTAAATTTGGCACTCCATGAACAAGCTGGTAATGCAGGAGAACGAGTAATTCACAGTGTACAGCGGAACGATCACATGATTATGCATATACCTAGCTTCTAGTCCATACTTTTAATGTTATCCATCGATTCACCAACCGATCTGTCATTTCCTTATCTTGTGCCTGTATTTAATTGGCCCGACCTGATCGATATCTGAATCAATGCTGAACATCATCATCTTCGATACGTCATCATGACGCGGCGGAGACTGATCTTGAGCTTCGGCAGAGCAGTGGGTCGATTAAGTTGAAGGCGAAATTTTCGCTAGATTTTCGCTAGATTTCAAGAATATGACGACAGAGGAAGCAATTGATTATCTAAGATGAGGTGTAGCTGTAGAAATGTCTTCATATTCGGGTTCTCCGCATGCAGAAGTTGGCTGCTTATCTGGCACAACTCTATTTGGGTTCGTCGGCTCAATGAAGTTAGAAAGATGAAAACAATCAAAATCGAATGAGTAAAATTTTCGCATGCAAAATGCTTGCTTCAAGCACACTGAAACCGGCATTCTTGGCCAATACGAGCCTGGATGCAAGAAATACGTTGATTGCTGTCCACAAGGTCAGAGAGAGGTTTGTCTGTAAAATTTCCCTGGAGCTACAGTCCAGAGAATTGTTTCCATTGTAGCTTCATGGGGATTGTTTTAGACATAGCAAAGATCCGCATGTTTTATATTTCGGATTGCGGAATCATTTCTCGGGCAATGACTTACGGTTGGAGCAGATATGAGACATGTCGAACTACACATGACGAGCATCTCAGCAACAAAGAGGCGTCTGTTTAATGGAATACTTTCAGTTTTACTCCAACATGATGATGTTTCCCAATTGAGCATTGAATGGATGAGTGAGATGCACATTCAACAAAGCATAGCCAGCACTGGTCGTACCGGCCCATGAGAGGTTTACTATGGAGTGGACAAACCAACCATCTGCACCCTGAGATGTTGAACCAGTTGCAAGGCCTAGGTCGTTTCCAGAATGGTCGAGATCATCACCTCTCTGAGTTGCCAGCAGGGGACGGGCCCGGTTATGCTCTGTGCCTGGCTTTTACTCCACACGGGGACAACTAACCTGCCGTTTATCTACCCACATGGGAGACTAGACAGTCTCGCCAAGGGAGATAGTCGTTCGATGTTTGACTAGAAATTGGGGATTTGTGGCTAAAAAAAGATGACTGCCTAGACTAAGAGCTCTTACTGAAAATGTGTGTTTTTCTTTTCCTGCAATTGGTCTTTTAACAACAGAAAGAAATAGAGAAAAAGAAAAGGATTCAGTACAGCAATTTTAAAATGTCAATTGACTAGATAGACATCGTTTCTTAGGTGTGTCGTGAGAAATAGGGTTGAGTCAAGCTGGCTGGTCTCGTCAAGTTGAGACAAACCTCAACGACGGGCTCAGCCGGATCACCCCCACGATGAGCTGGGAGATGGACAGAGTGTGTGGGGGCGTAAAAAAACTTTGGTACGGAGTTGGCTCCAGATTAATGCAAGAATTGTTGACCTTAGTCATTTCCATTAGTGCTGCCATCAACCAAAGACCGCGGCTCAAACTCATGTAGGTACATTCAACAAAAAGACGGGCAGTAGCTGCTCACAGAAATTGCGTGGGAGACGCAGGTACAGGCACACGGTCAGCCCGTGTCAGCGTGTCACCGTTCAACGCCCCCTTTTTTCTGCAGAAGAGATGGAGA